TTTAAAAGAGGCAAGTCACACTGACTACCTTTTGCTACCTTTTTGACAAACGACATGAAATGATTTTTTTCCCCCTCCCCATAAGGGAAAAAATTTAAGATTTGAATTCTTGGAAATAGAAAATAAAAAACATTTAGAAAAGTCCTCAAATGACCAAAAAAAAAGTAGTAAATAGAAAATAAAAAGCATGTGAAAGCCCTCAAATGAAAAGAGAAAAAAAAAAAGGTAGTAAATGATAAATTTCTAAAATGAATTCAAAGACAGTTCTACAAACATCCAGTTGTTGGTTTTAACTAGTTTCAAAGAGTTCTTCAAGTCTCAACAAATTTTTACTGGTTACCTTTTTCTGACTTATTGAGGTATTAGAAACACTGAGCTTTAAGATTATTTCTCTTTTTATCTTCACTTCTTGTTCTTTCTACACAACAGTACTATTTAAACAACAAATCCATGTTGAGCTCTGCTGGCTTAGTGGTAAGGAACTCCACAGCCAACCCAAAGGTACGTGGTTCAAATCCACCAGCTTGCTCTGTGGGAGAAAGACAACCTCCTCCTAGGCGATATACAGCCTTGAACCCGCTGGAGCTGAGTCGGTTCTGACTCAGTGGTATGCAATTATTATTTTATAGAGATGTACTGTATATAATACACAATAGGTTGATTCCTGAAAGTCAACCCAACTTCTAAAAAGTCTTTATTTTTTTTACGCTCATATGTGATTATACTTTCAGAAAGGGGAGTGGGCTGGGGTAGGAGAATTGGCCCTGATCCCACTTCTAAGTTATTAAATTTTTAAAATCATGTTTAAAAAGGGGGAAAAAACCTTGTAATTTTCTAATTAAGAGATATAATTGCCAAAATTATTTCAAAATGAAATGAATTATTTTGAAACACGTTGTGTATACATAAGACATATGCTCACTGAACTCCAGGTGAGCAGAAGACATATTCTGGAGACAGCCTGTGTTTTTTAAAAAATGGGCAATTCCTGCATTTTCTCTGTATAAACTCCTTACCTATATAATCATGTGGTGCTTTCTCCTGTTTAAAATTCCCTCTCTTCACACACACATAAAGCTGCTAGTGAAATCAGGACATTTTCTAAAGCAGACGTCCTTACGTAATCCAGTAATGGGGACTTCACTCACTGGCTCATTCATTCATTCCAATGTTTTTAAGTGCCAACTGTATACCAGGCACATCTGTAGATGGTGAGACCACAGGAATGAACAAGACATCCAAAGTCCCCTGCCCTCTCGGAGCTTACATTCTACTTCCTCACAAGGAATCTGCAACCAGACCGGGAAACATTCACAGTCTGTGAGCCAAGTCCAAGGCTTCCTCAATCAGGTGGCCCAGGGTCACAAAAGCTACATGTGTGTTATTTTTTTAACAAACAGATGATAACATCCTGGGTTAGTTTCTAAATGTCTTTGAAATTATCCTTTACTAATTCTACTATTTAATGTATACATTCTGACAGGTTTGACTAATTTCTTTAAGAGCAAAAAAGAGAGATAACCTGAAAAGTTTCCAACCCAACTGATCAATGATCAATAGGTGCCAGTCAAGTGATAGTCTTTCTAAGAACAATTCTGTTAATAAAGAATCCACTTCACAATGACAGGTTTGGCACTCAGCAGGATGAAATCAACTGGGGTTCTGACTGGAGGTGCCAGTTCCTCTCTCTCTCTGATGCTTCTTTCCCAGGTTTAACAGACAGTAAACCTTTATAGACTTTAGAGACTAGACTTTGCCTTCAGCAAAGGCTGTAGCTAATTTCTTTTGACACTACTGTCACTGCAGTTACAGATTCGTACCTTTCTTCTTCTGACTCTTAATTCCTGTCCCCCTCTTTTATGTTCCCTAATGAAAATCCACTCACAGTCAAGGTCAATTATCACAGCAAGTCTAAACTCCTAAGTTTTAAACAAGGCCAGGCCACAGTGTTGCCACACTCAGAGGTCCCTGACCTCTGCTTGGGCTCCTTCTCCTTCTTCATCGTCTGATATTTTTCAGGTTCATCTGCAGAATTCATTCTACCTGCACTCCAGCTGACAAAACAAGGACATTTTATAAGGATGCCACAGAGGGACGAAGGACATAGAGGAATTAGAATATAATCTTTACTCTGCATCACAGGATTCAAGAAGATATAAAAAAGTCTAATTGGAAATCAGCTGCTTCATGATATCTGCATGTACATTTTCAGATTTACTCATGAACTTTTTATTGCTTGTTATACTCTGGTTTTTATCAGACCACATGCAAATTATTATACTGCTGTTTTCTTTTCATTTGCTTGGGGGTTTAAAAATTTTTTCTTTATTATTTTATACTAGTTGACTTGTTGGCGTCTTTTAATGGGAATACTCTGATGGGTGGTAGATCTCTCGACTATATGGTCATATCTAGTTGCCAGCTTAATTTTGTCTCCTCTAAAGGGAAAAGTAGCAAGAAATGAAAACACAGCAGGCCTGTAAACGTACTGGAAAGCAGTAAGATGGTGACAATAATTCCGCTTTTTTGCTGTAAACACCGTATGGTCGCAAATTCTTTGCTCTTTTTTTCCCTTGCTCATTTGGCCTCCTTTCCTTACGCGGCACAATGATATAGGACTGGAATATAATAAGTATGTTGTTCACTGTATTTATTGAATTATGTTCCTATTTCCAATTTAAAAGGCAGCTCAACCGAACATCTTCCATTTCTCTCCTGAAACAAAGAAAGAAAGAAAACAGAAAGGACTTCTGTTGCTCTGGGTGGATGGAGCGGTGGGGTGGTGGACAGTTTCCTTGACATTTCTTTCAGAGACTCTCCACCCACTAGTTCAATTACTGGAAATTCCTCTGTGGCAGCACCAATAATATATTAAGAGTAAAACCGCAATACGCATTGTACTTCAACAATCTACCCAAGAAGGAATATAATCTAAGTTCTTAAGGCATAAATTCAAATGATAAATAAATAGTTCAAAGAGAAAGAAAGTAAAAATTGATCTAACATATTTAAATAAGAATTTGAAAAAGAAATTATTTAAAGGACGTTATCATTATCATTTTTATACACTGAAAGGAAGGATTCCCATTCCTAAGAACACACTGCAAGTGAATTTTATCACAAAATGACTTTATGCTTTTACAACAGTTTTCTTAAAGTTACTATCAACTATAAATTAATCAAGCCCTTAATCTTCCAGAAATTGTCTTCCTAAAATTTTTATATAACACCAGTACATAAGAATGTCACAGTAGCTTTTCTTCACCACACAAAAAACTATAACAGTTAGAACTTATTCTTTATTTGTCATCTTTCTACAGAAATGATCAGGAATTCGCCTTGCCAGAAAATTATACACATCATAAATACACGAGTTTTAATGAACTATTGATCCGACTATCACGTTGCAAGTATGACTAGAACACGATTATCACAAATTAAGCCAAGAATTCCAAAACAACGTTTATTAACAAAAAAGTACAAAGAAGTACAAATGGACATCCTATTTTCCCCCAGTTATGGTCCATCTAGCTAATTCTTTTTTTATTGATGCCAGGATCTTTGGAAGTTGTAAGAATAGATAAAACTTTTCTATGTCCAACGGGTCCTGATAACTCTCCAGAAATAAACTGTCATGTATTTAAGTTATACAGTTCTTATCAATCAAAAAAGGTTTTTTTATTTCTATCAGTTGTCATAAAAGCCTCATCCTTTGTGATATGCTACCATCCTAAATGGAATGAACAGCATCATAATCAACATCCCTTAAGTCATATTTAGATATGGGGAATATCACACTGCTAGTAGATCTGCCTTGAAGTAAAAGTTAGATGTGGCTTTCGAGGTATCAAAAAGGATTATGGGAGATATTTACTAAAAACACTTCAAGTAAAAAAACACCTTGCTAACTAAATAAAAGTACAAGAGCATTCAGTCTGTTGTACATTTTGCAACTGGTTATAAATTAATGCTAATCAAGTATCTAAACTTATTTCTATTAATTTAGTGTTCTAAAAAAAGGGTTCCTTTAAACAATTTGTCACTGAGCTAAACACAGGTTGTTCCTTACTCTCTCCACAGAGCAGAAGTGTGTCTCTGGGTGATGACGAACATCACACAGCATTATCCCCCACATCTCACAGAGCTCCAGAAAACACCACTCTACATGGGGAGAGTGAATAAGCTTTCACGTCCAGGTGATAATGCTAGTTCTGCTGTGGCTCATCAAGACAAAGCATATGGCGTATTTTCCACCGATGTTTCTAAAAGCCTTTGTGTAGAATTTCTCATTTTGTGTGGTAAGCTCCAGCCACTGGTCTGTGCAGGGAGCTAGGCCAGAGGCTGTCACTCATACTTACTCCTTGCCTAGAGCTTTTCTCATCAAGAAAATGGGTTTTCAGTGTTGGACTTGGCTATAACAACATTAAGAGTGCATTGAACATTTTTTGAGGAGCTGAAAATTCAGATGACCACTCACTATAAACAAAAAAAATCATCATTCCACAAATATTTTATTCACATCAAACTTGCACAGTAGCAAAAAAAAAAAAAAAATCAAAACACAACTAAGCCACATATCAAAGAACAATATACAATAAAAATTTAAATTTTTTTCAATGGCATTGGAAAAAGGGACTTCCATAAATAACATTTACAATTCTAGTGTTAGATCTTTCAAAGTGTCTAAAGCTTCACAGTGCTAGAATTGATTTTTATCAGAACACATGCAAAAAAAGGTGCAACAAAATCCATATTAATGACACAAAAAAGCACGCCAGTTATTGGTCATTCCAGCACGGCCATGCCACTCTATGTTTCTAAAAACAGACAAACGAACCCCCAAATCCGGGTCCCATTCATTCTTCAATTACGCCTTTAGTCATTTTGCTTTATTATATTCAAACAGTCACTGTTAGTGCTCTTCACCACGACTTTCAGGTTGACGTCACTCCCTGCCTGCTGGCTGTCAGGACTGGGGGACGACCCTCTCCCAGACTCACCTTCTTCCGGATGTCTTCATCATTTGCACCTAAGGAGGCATAGAGCTTGAACGCAGCCTGGCGGAGTTCGTGGGCGTGCTTTAAGTCATGATCAAGCTAGGGTAAGAGGGAAAAAAAGGTATGCTCCAATTGAGACCACAATTACATTTTCCAATAAAATTAATCAAGTAACATAAGGAATAAACACCAAACTCCTAACTATTGATCTGGTGTTATAACAGAACATCCCAGGTTTTGGTTTTTTTTTTGTTTTTTTTTTTGGCTCTGTTCTTGACTGAGGCCTGGCTATGTGTCCGCATCCCATAACATGCACAGTCTGCTTCTCTCTAAAAGTCAACATTTGTCATGTCTTCAGTTTTCCCTAATTTTCTGAAACATCAGAATATCTTGTAGTCTAGCTGAAAAAAAACCCCGCTGTGTCAAGCGGCAGAAAGATTTCAGAGGGAAAGCAGAATGAAAAGGCTACCGTGAGCACGTGGGTTTGCAGGAAAGAACAAATAACACCACAAAGGGTAAATTTGTTCTTTTATTTATTGAGTTTTACAGCTACTTAGTAACAAGAATGATTTATGTGTTTTCATCTCCACTACCCCCTTAAAAAAATAAACCACATCCAAAATCTCCACCTGATTATGACAATTTTGCAAACAGGACATTGTTTTTATGAGTTTAGTCCACTTAGAAAAGGAAAGTTTAAAGGAAAAATCATAACAAAGTATTGCAATATTAAGAAGATATAGAGAAGTAAAATGGAATGCATTTCATAGTATTTTTCTTCTTTTCTCCCTGAGTCTGAATGTCGGCACGGATTCTATCTACACATCTATGCCTCGGAATGGACTCCCGGCTGACTCTCTGCTAAACTTCCAAAGCTGTAAGTTGCACAAGAGGTGACTCTGCTCATCTTCCTCTCTTGGAGCCGCTGGTGGATTTGAATCACCAGAGAAGATTAGTCTTTGGATTATCAGCAAAACTAATGATTATGCCACCAGAGTGCTATTTGGTAGCAGAATGTGAAAACAGCAAATCATAAATCTAAGAACAAACACTAAAATGTTTAACTTGGAGGGTAATTCAAAAATCTCCTGCTGACTAGCCAATTTCTTATTCATAGTGCCCTAAACGACAGATTTCCCAAGCTGTAAATCTCCCCCCCCCCGCCCCCCAATCTGCAAATCTTTACAGAAGCACCCTATCACATCTTTCCCATGAGAGCATCAAGTGGGTTCAAACTGCCGACTTTTCAGTTAGCAACCACCTGTTTACTAGATGCTCTACTGGGGTTCCTCTCACCAAGGTTAAAGAAAGAAAAACACAAGAAGGAAAGCCAGAGAAACAGACTTTCCTGACAGAGTCTCTGAAATGTGTACTGAAATACTCAAGAAGGAGAAAGAAATAGATGAAAACACAATCACAAACACCAGTCATTTAACGGAGACCAAACTGCAGAAGACTTGGTACTCCAAAGAATCTGGAGTTGGATTATAAAATAGCTAGCCGATAAAAATAATGCAAATGCCCCCAAACAGGACAGCTTTTTAAAAACGGTAATAACTTCATCCAGCAGTATGTAATTCTGAAATTCCAAAATCTGAATTAAATTCATCCAGTTGTATGTAATCCTGAAATTGAAAACATAATGCTGCTTATTGGGCCAGTTGTGAGGATCTGTGTTTCCTTTGTTTAGGTGTAATCCATAGTGAATGCTGGAATCTTCTATCTTCAAAAATTAAGTACTTCGAGTCCTTTTTGGTTTCAGCAAGCCAAGTTACGGCATCTGAGTAATGCAGGTGGTTGTAAGGCCAACCCCAATCCTGGTCCAGCATTCTTCTTCATATACCCCAGTTTCTTCAATTACTTGTTCAGCATTCAGAAATAAGTGTGCTGAAAGGATACAGCCTTCCTTAACATTAAGTCATTCAAAATCCTCTTACTCTGTTCTCAAAGTCTAAGTCACATGAGCACCATGAAGTGTTCTGGAATTCCAATTCAACGCCATGTTAACTATAGTGTGTTAATACAACCCACACAGCTGAATGCCTCTGTAGTCAATAGCACACAGGCAAACACCTTTCTGGTATTCTCTGTTTTCGGCCAAGATCCGTCGGAGATCAGGAGTGATGGCCCTTGGTCCACAATTCTCTTTGGAATCTAGGCTGAACTTCTAGCACCTTTCTGGCAGTGTACTGCTCACTGGTCATTTGGGGCACTTCTCAATCACTGTTTTGGTTATTAATTAAAAGGCAATGCTCTTCCAATCATGGCCTGTAAATAAACTTTCACTTACAGAAATGCACTGAATAAACAGGGCAAGAAGAAAAGGTCCTAAGACACATCTATCTATTCTAAAATCTAGCACCAAACCTACCATGCTCTCATTTTAATTCGTAGCAGTGATCCAGAGTGATATTTCTGCTTACAGTTGACAAGGCAATAAACCTTTACAGAAGTGGAATACTGAATTCTCAAACTGGTTGATGAATCCAAACCACTGACCTTCTGGTTAACAACCAAATGCTCATTCCACTGCACCATGAGGATTCTCCATCTAATCTAAGGAACTTATATTTTAGTAAGTTTTACAAGTTTATAAAGTTAACAAAACTTGAACCTTGAATATCTTACACTATCCGTTAAATAGTGAACTAGTTACTCGTAACACAAAGCCTTGAACAGCTTAAAAGCCAAAAATCAGCATGAAAAGGAAGGTAGTAAGACTTGGGGGAGGGATTGTATAACAATGAAAGAATTTTTCTTTTACTTTTCAAAGAGAAGAGTGAACTGGGGAGGGGGGGATGGGCAGGGAGAAAAGTACAACAATTAACGAATGGAAATCCAAAGTCTCTGTAAACTTTCATTAAAATGAATTAATAAAATTTTTAAAAAGTTACGGTAAAAGAATGTCTACAGTAGAGAGTAAAAGAAAATTACTGAGACATCAGAGACAAAAGTTGACTCTTGAACTAAAGAATGAGGTACTCTGTCCCACATTCAGCCTCTGGCCTTGTTTTCTGCTGAGAGGAAGCCTCTCCACCTGAAAGCTAAACAATGAATAAGGAAGACAGAATAAAAATCAACGTCATTGAGTCATGATGCTGGAGAAGAGTGCTGAATATCTCATGGATTAACAAAAGAATTAAAAATAAATGTCCTGGAGAAGGTGCAACCAGATTGTTCCTTAGTGGCAAAGATAGTGAAGTTTTATCTCAAAACTTCTGGGCATGTTGTTAAGAGGAGAAAGAAATCAAGCTTGGAAAGGAGAGGAAGACCCTGCACGAGATGGACTGGCACAGGAGCTGTAACAAGGGGCCTGAGCAATGAGAGCGGGTGAGGAGGACCCAGGCTAGCGCAGGATTCATATCCTTTGCTCACAGGGTCAGGCGAAGTCATAGTCAATTCGATGGCACCTAACAGCAACAACATGCAGGCTCTGAAAACATGATGAGTAAAGGCAGCAACCGACGTCCTTTCTGCCTCCCTGGGAAATCGGAAACCAGAGTGTGAGCTGGACCCGTGCTCTCTGAAGGAAGTCAGTGAGGGAAGAGTCCGAGAAGGGCAGCTAACGATGTGGGCTGCAAACGATGGCACTGTCCTGCCTGAGTTCAGACTGAAAGCAGGGATGGACGGAAAACGCCACTGTCCGAGCCTGGAGAAAAACCAACGCTTCTAAGTGAATAAGAACTCAACGATGAACTTTCAGAAGACTCAACCAATTGAAAAGTAAAGCAAACCATCTAAGGTCAACAGAAAAAAAGCAAAATACCTACGGTCCCAGCCCCAAATCCTGAGTGGGAGGTCTTGTGTCAGACTTTAATGTTCAGTAATCCATCAGGACCACCCCAGCCAGCTACCTGGAAAGGTGTGGTAGCAGATGATGCTGTGGAATTCTCAGCTGGCAGTCTAGGGACAAGGGAAGAACACGCAGGAGATGAAAAACCTGTGGCGGACAAAATCAAGGGGAAAGCCAAAGAAGGGGTCTGTGGACAATTTGGTGAAAAAGAAACAATTCCTCTTGATTAGAGGGTAAAGATGGAAACCACTCAGAGTCAATGAGTCATTCAGAGACTTAAAGAATCTGTAATCAAATGAGTCAAGATGGAGAAACCGCTCCCGCTGAGGGCCCAAGAAAGAGCTGCCACTTGCTACTGGGCGCTATGCCCGAGGACTTCTCTGGGCTCCGGGACAACTTAAATTTGAAATAGGAAGATGCCAGCTTTCTGCTATGATTGCTGATGCAGTCTGGGAAACTGGAGCTTCAGTGACCAACTATGCACACGCTCTTCAAGTGACGACAGAGTGTGTGACGGTGCCCTGGGTCACCTTCATGATACCCTGGGACCAAGACAGCCTGACTCAGACAAGCACAAACCAACAGACGACGGAGTGACGGAGACAGTGAAGGCTGAGCGCAGAGACGAGCTGGAACGAGATGATACTACCCCACCTTGAACACGCACATCTCGACAGTGAGGCCATCCACAAAGCAAGCCAAGAAATCACGGAGCGTGCAGATGATCACTCCTGCCCTCTCTGGAGACATCAACAACCGGTCCTCAACTACAGAAACCTCACGTTCAGCCACAGAGAGCAAGGGCGACACTGATTCCAGAGTCGAAGCACCCCAGGATGAGGGTAAATCAAAGGAGAGAGCAAAGGCGAAGGAGGGAGCAACTTAAAAGGAGTTCAGAGAAATCCAAGTTAAAGTTCACAGTATTTGGTATTGGGACATCAAGTCTTCTGGGGGCAAGTGGGGACTTTTAAAAACTATTGTTTGTTTGCTTACAAAGTTCTAATACATTGTGTTTCACACTATTCTTCATTCACACTCTGTTTCATTCTGTTTCACAATCATCCCCACACATTATGTTTTAGAGAACTAAGCACTCTGGACCTTCCCATCATTATCTTGTCTTTTCACCTGGATCCTTCAATTCCATGCCCTGCCACTCCACCCACCAAACTGTGCAGCTCTGTGGGTCCACCCCTCCCCATCCTCACCCCTCTGCTCCCACCCCTTCTCACTTGAGTTCCCACACATTTTTCACTAGTCATCCTTCTATTTTTACAGTAATGGTCTGCAGTATTTTTTTGAAATC